CCACCGTCAAGTTCTTTTATTTGATACTAATATCGCTGGGATTATTAAGAAAAGGTTAATCCAACTGGTCGCGGTTCGTACCATACCGATTTTAGAATTAGCCCATTCTTAGACAGATAATATATCTTCATTTCAGGAATGTACAAAATAGTTTTAAACATCCTGTTTGCCGCAGCATAAAACCTCGAAAAAATGAAACAAAGAAAATTTTATCACTTGTAACTTTGTATGGTAGATTTTTCCCATTTTTGGAGGCAAAGAGTGTTTCGTAAGGTGGATGTGCAAAATTTCAGCCGTCTAACTTTAACAACAACAACGAAGCTGCGTTCAGTGTACGACTGCGAGCTTCTGTTCTGGTCAGGATGACCCATTTTCAATACCAGGCTGCGTGCAAAAACTTCCAACGTTTCTACCAAATTTGAAGTCGATAGCTTCATTTTCGCGACGCGGCAACAAACACCGCAGTTGAAGAACATATATAAGCTCTCTGAAGCTTCCTTTTGGGTGTTATGTACATTATGAACAAAATGAGTATACGCCCATCCTCCCGTGGCTGTTATAAAAACCAAAGAGAGATTAATATATATGATCTTTTTCCAGTTTCCAGTTTATTTTCTTCTTTGACCATGACCGTGAAACGCAACGCAAGTGTCGAGAATTAAATAATGCCTTATAAGCAATTAACAAAAATAAGGCCTGCGCCAGACCCAATCTACCATCCACGAAAAGCTACATTAGAGAAGTCATAACAGCATATATCCCATTCTAATAAAGCGAATGCCTCCGGAACATCAAGTCCCAACCCGAACCAACCATCTATAAATTGTTATATGTTGAGTCCAGTCCTTTATCCATCAATCAATCTATACTTACCGACTCCTTACACATCAACGGTGCACAACCACTGAGAAGAATAACAAATTATTAACGAAAAATAGCGATGCCTTTGATGGAGATTCTTATATGTTGACATGGCTAACTAAATATTCCGCTTTCATGTCACCACAATTAAGTAAAAGTCATAAAACTTGACAATGGAACTTCGATTTTAAAGAAAAAATGTACAATGCTGTCGCTTTATATCCCAACTTCGTAGCCGTTTTCTCAGCAAGAAATATGTAATTTATTCTCTGCGCTTACCACACCTTTATTAATATGGTGCGATTTTATTACTTGGGACTCGACCGATACTGCACCGATACTGCGATCTCTGCATTTTAAATAAGAGACATTCAACATTTTTTAACAACCAACTCTTCACCTTCCTCGCCCTTCCTGTTTTACTTCCGATGATCTCTTAATCCTCAGATGACTATATTCGACAAATATTGACAAAAATTAAGACCGAAATATATGTAAGAACTCGCCGTGGCCATAAAATTGAGGCATACCAATCATTCCTTCAAAAATCTTTTTCACCAATCTACAATTGTAAACAAATTCTTACAATAAATCGCCCTCTTTGGTACTGCCTAAATTTTTCCTTTATTAGAACAACCACATTCGGAGCCACTAATCCTTTGAACGTCCTGAAATCAGCTACAGAACACAATGGGAATTTCATATATCACTGTACTAGAACTACCTGACTCTAATATCTAATTTGCCTTTCAAAATGATCTCTTTCGGTATAAGTAAGTATTTAGTAAGTATTGGTAGTTCTAGACTTAACCATTCAAATCATTCCCGCTCATTCTAGCTTTATGATAATAATAAAAATTCGCTCTTTTCGAAAGATTTTCAAAACAGCAGATTATAACACATATAGTTATCATATAAAGCAGCGGAATATTTAAAATTTCTAGAATGCAACAAAGCCAGAAAAACTTTGATGTTTTAAATATATATATAATTAATATGCACAATAAATTTTTTTTAATTTGATGCATCTTAATTAAATGAAAGATATCGCTACGCATCGAACGTTCAAAAGCGAGAGCATTGTCAGAGAATAACATTTATATGTGCTAAAATAGAAACTCGTCCGTTAACTTGAATTGTGAAAGCGATGTATTTTAAAATATGGAAAATTCGAAATTACGAAATTTTTTACCATAAGTAAATTGCCAAGTCGAAGGGTTGAAGCGAAATTTTGTGATAGAACCATCAAAAGAAATTTCTAACGCAGCTGAATCTAAATCTACACAAACTGTGTTAAAATCCAAAACTAAAGAAATTATTCTATTATTTGATATAAAAATTTCTCATATCGCTCCCGTTAATAACGCTCTAGCAACGCAGTCTACATCAGTGGAAAATGCATATTTCCGAAGCAAAGAACCGCTGTGCATGACAACAAAGTGCGGACCCAATAACCGATAGTGAAAACAGGCAATAAAATATCATGTGAAGGGGTTCAAGTGCGAAAGCCTAACTCGCAACCGCCATTCACAAGAGAAACAAAATCCACGGGTACAACAAATTGGAACTTAGGGCTTCATCAACTTTTAAACGAACAAGATTTTGAACTACTTTCAGTGAAATATAAAGTTCTTGTTTATACAAAATTTATAGATATATTTGAAGAAGATGTGAGTTTGAAGAGACATCTAAGTAAAAATAAGAAGTGCGGAGAAGGAAATGTGCTGTGTAAGAAGCAAACGCTTGTAAAACATTTAGTAAAAGATCTTGAACTTAGGTGTTGCCTAGTCAAACCAAAAACAAGTATTGGTAATCAAACTGGAATAGCAAGAACATCAGGCGAGGATAAAGCTCGTCTGTTTTCTGTTGCTAAATCTATAAAAGAGAAAGGGCCACCACGATGAGGAAAGAATGTAAAGACACCGACAAGGAATAATGACCTTCCGAAATCCTTTGTAAATAATTTGAAGAGTTCGAAAGCGAACGCAGATTGGGCTAAGCAAAGAAATAATGATACGTTTGATAATTCACCCAAAGCAAAGCACGTCCCTGCAAAGAGAATTCGTCGTATCCGGCCTAAGAAATTAACTTAGAAAAATGAGAATGAAAAGTTGGAATCGAGTTTTCAACTTTATACAAAGTGAGTACTATCGGCTACAAAATCAAACAAACAAATTTATGGTTCCAATCCTCTACAGAAAGCAGGTGATGATTCGCAATATGATGAAGATCAACATAAATTTGAGTCAAGCTCAAAGTATCTTAAATTTATTCCGCAAGTAAACAGAAAGCAATCATGCGTATGTATTGCAGAAGAAACTTTAGCCAATTCGACCGGTTTCAATGTTATTGATACTCAAGCAGCATTTTCAACTAACGGCAGTAACGAAGTCGACATTACTGAATTGGCCACTAAGTGTAAACACTTGATCTGTGAAATGAGCTTTCCGTATATTCTGTGGTGCCTGGATTAGTCGTCAGGTAATTCGGAATCTGGAATAATAAATAACGCTTCAACCAAATACGCAACTTCGAAAGCGGAAGATAATTGTAAAATATCCAACGACGTCAAAGGAAAACTAAAGACCACTTTTTTAACTGGTAATCAAATACATTCTGCCAAAGCAGACAATGTCATGAGGGCTATTACTTCACACGTTAAGTTGTCCACAAATCATAGAACGAGTTCAGATTCCAAGTTTGTTAAAAATCTTTCTAATTTTTCAAAGCCAATTACAGCTCGTTAATATCAGCAAAATTGTAGCAGTCATATACCATTTCTTTTAAAAGATCACCATCGCTCTTCTCATAAAAACGAACCAAGATATTCGATTATGCAAGAAATTCAAAATAATCAACCTTTAGACCTAACCAAACCTCACATATGAAGATTGGAGACTTTCGTTTAAGTTTCGACATCCACGTCGAACAGGAAGAGCTACATTTTCAGTCTGAAAAACTTTGCAAACAAAGCGGCAGTAATCAGAAAGCACGTTTTGGAATTGATATTTATAAATTTTCTATACAAGCGAGCGTGAAAGTCATCTGTCTTTGCCCAAGTTACTGGTTTGCTACAGGAAATGTGACAATACAGTTCAATGGTAAGCGTCTAAGTGGCCCGACAATAAAAAGTGTCTTCAGATTTCTTAATGCTTCAGCTTTAGAAACCGGAGTCTTATCCTTTGGAGTAGTGGAGAAGTGGAATTTTCAAAGACAGTGGAAATGATGTCGAAAACACCAAATTTGTCTATAAGCAGTGTCTGTAGCCAACGGGTCAGTTTTCATTGGTCTAGCAAGAATGGTTTGGAAAGACTTAGAAAAAATTCTATCCAAACCAAACGCTGAAGAATTCAAGAAAGCAACTACAACAGAAAAACATAACGGTTTGCTAACCTCTTCATTTAAAAGCAATAACTTAAGTCTCCCCAATTGAAATTGTGATCAAATAACTACGTGCGATGGTGATGCTTTGGTAGATAGGAAACAATCAATTTAGCCAATTTGTAAACGCGTAGCGTATAGCGGAGAAAAAAGTTGAACCCAAAAATCGACTTGTTCTTGATAAGATTATTCAAATCACTCAAGATGCGTCCATATTAAGGACTCTTAGCGTGGTAAAGAAGACTCAAAGATATCTACGTTGCATTCAACGACATTTAAATGGCTACATTAATATTTGCAATTTTACTAGCCCCAGAAACATTGGACTCCTTCCAAATTCAGAAAGAATTGTCGCGGGGGACGGTAATATGAATAAAGCAAATGGTTTATGCGAACGTTCCAAAGACGAACTGGAAATTTGCATGTATTCTTTGGTATGTTACATTAATGTCAGTCTCATCGATTGCATGAGTCAGATGGACACAGTTTTACATGCTTTATATGGAAATTAACTATTAATGATTTAGTCTAAAACTTAATTTCTGTAAATGTTTGAGAATCTAAAAATTTTCAAAATAAACAAATTTAATTTAGTTTATGAACCGTAATGAATCTCTTTGTTTAAAGGAAAAAATTATCGCAAAAATTAATCCAATTTCAAATGTACTTCGCAAATTTTAACATGACCTCTCCAAATAGGCAGTCAGAGTACTATATTTGTAAATATAATAGTACCAACTTTGTTTCGTTCTTTCTAGCCTCCCGAAAATGAACTACAGAAATCCCACGATCACAATTCGGCCGCCTTAAGCGAGCATCAACTGCGAATACAAGCCTCCCTTCAGCGTCTGAACATACCCGACTGGTTCCGACAATACAATCAAAACCAATCGCGTTCACCCGAGGGTGCGGCGAACACATCATCGTATCGTCCAGGTAATTTTACACGTAAACGTGCGCAAGATTCGGGACGATGGGCCGGACTGAACTCTAAAACAACCTCGTTAAGTTCTTTGGGCTCGCAACGATCTGACCGTAGCCCTTTACTTCTGAGTCCTTCGGCACATAGCCATCACGGTGGTCAGACCTCGTTGCACACTCATCATATACAAAACGCTAACGTGTCTGCTGGAAGCGGAGGAGCGGGAACTTTTTCTCGTTGGTCAACATCGCATTTAAATTCATCACAAATATCACCTAGTGTCTCACAGAGAGGCTCATTTTCTCGTGGCGGACCGATTAATTCAAGTTTCATGTCTGTTAGCAGCGGTCATAGCGCCATACGCAACTCTATGCGCCAGCCTTATATGGGATGGCGTAGCCAAGAAAAATTGTCACAAAGGACGGCTCATGAAAGGTAAAATTTGCAATAGTTATAATGATGAAATCAAAACAATTCTATTGTATTTTTTAGATTGGCATCTTCACTTCTCGCTCAGCAACAGCGCACATCTCCTAGCACGCGTACAACTATTTTAACTAATGTTAGTAATGGCAGTGGCAATAACAAATTACCGCCGCTTGTTACACCTGAAATACAAACTTCGATTAAAGAGGTGACCTCGGCCATTGTACATTATGTTAATGATCAAACAAATCAACAGCGCAGTAGATCAACGAGTCCAAATTCGAGGTAGTCTATAATATATGTATATATATTGTAGCCATTTCCTTTCCAGTACTCTTAAGTGTGTAGTACCAATTCGAAATGAACTTTAATCTACATATCAATGTATATATATTGTAGACAAATTCTTCTTAATACCTCCTAGTAAATACCTTTAGATCATTTGAAACGAACGTTCAACTTTCATCTTCAAACAGCTAGCTGCACTTAGCTAGTACTAAAAGCGGCTTACAGGTTTTAGTAAAGAGTTATTTATCTCTCGTTTAATTTACTGACATTTTGTATTTTCTTTATATTTATTTTGTATTTTCTTTTCCTCTTTATTTATTTTGGTTTCTTAGCTACTTATGAACACACACATTTACAAAAATTTTACTCTCATAAAACACAAATGTCTTATTTTATTTTTCACCGTATGTTGATTTTTCGACTTCTATATATATATATAACAATTTTCCGTTGATTTGAGTTTACGTTACCATCTTGTACATATTGGAAAAAGGCCGTTTCTCATATTGTTATTGTCATCTATCATCTAACTCAAGGTAAGCTAAATATATATTAGTTTTTCTTAAAATCATTACATAATCTCTTTTCTCTACTAAGTTTGATTAATAGAAAATTTATCTCGATTGGGGTACTTCATGTGCGAGTATCTCGGATAAATTTATATACGTATATATCTATCCCAGTGACTAAATGTTGATATTGAACTAAATTATCGCAGGGTACTATTTCCAAGTAAACGCGTGGGCTTACGTGCACTTTGTCTTATTTAAACATTTATTTCTACTTTCGGGTAATTAAAGTCTAATTATCCAATGTACTTCTCTATAGAATCTTATATCCCATTTTATATCGGCTACATACAAATGTAAATGTTAAGCTTTATTCCCGCCTTGATTTCGGATTTCGGAAGTAAAAAATGGAAATAAAAGTAAAAGAAGCAAAAAAAAGATGTTTAACCATAAGTCCCGGGACAGACGAAAAGACATGCGTTTTACAAACGCTAATATCTGATGTAGATCTGTGAACAAAGTGCGCGTTTCGTGTAGATTACTAATAATTGCCACATCGTGATATTACTTTTGCAAGAATTACTATTTGATTTGGATATTGGAATAGTGAGCTCTTTCCATCCATTGGCGCCACTTTTTGATGGCCTTTTGAAATCGAAAAATATACGCTTTACTGACAACTTTTTACGCGTGGAGGTCAACTTATAATGACTTCCCTTCATTGGAAAAATGTATTTTAATGTGTTTAAATGTGTTTAATGTGTTTTAATGAGTTTTTGTGTAACGCAACACTAAATCAAGGAAATAAGGAGATGATGTGATTTTTATGTGAAAAATCAGCTGCAAATATAATGTTTTCTTTCTATTTTTCGGAGTCAAATATTGAAACAAAATGCTATGATTTGATCTTTTAGAGATATTTAATTAATTATCATTAGTTATAATGAAAACTTTGGCAGATCGCTAAAGCAATCGCGAATTTATCTTCAATTTTTAAAAATTTCCCTTGTCCAACATATTGGACATTTTTGATTTTACAATCAAGAACGCTGCTGCAGGATGAACATCCATCACTCTAATAGCAGTAAAAGCCAAAAAAGTTTGCTTTTTGTTCCATAATTATTTTTGTACCAATGCAATAAACGCGCAGCTACATTATCAGGCCGTCATTACTTTGCTACACGCCCGATTGCCGTGCATGATTCACCCAACGTTAGTGAAAGATACTTTTTTTCCGGTTCAGGTCATCGCCGATAAGTGACACCACTACAAACTTTACTGTAGGTGTCGTCTCGTACAACGGCAAAAGTACCGAGTAGAAATTTCATGGTCTTATAATGAATAAAAAACCCCATTATGTTTGCAGTGATTTAAAGCCATTGAAACGCCGATCAATACTTGTATCCATAGACGACAAAAATTCTTACGACGAATAATTTTTTTATATTTGTAAACAAAAAGAATTCGTAATGGAGCTTCTTAAAAGACGTGTATTTTCTGTACAAAGCATGAGTTTATTCCTTCGTCGAACCCCAGCTTACCTTTTGAATTTATGCCCCGAACTGATTTAAGGTTTTTAAGCAATATTCTACTCTTTTTGTTCCACTAGCTTAAAGGTGTTCCTTGGTATAAAGATTTTTTTATTATATATATATATATATATATATTTGACGATTTCAAACGCCTTTGTATCGTTCGGGCTCAGTGAGCTCAGTCTATTTGATTTGCAATTCAAAATTATAATAGTAAGCTCAAGCCTTATCCTTCGCTATAAATCGATGCATATTCATCTTAAATCGGCTTAAATGATGTTGAGAAAGCTTTATTTAAATTTGCCTTTAATTTGAATTTAGGTAATATTTTTAAAAGCGGTCCCCTTACTATTGCATTAATTCAAAACAATCAAATGGCTCTATCTACATGAGCCACATATAAATCACGGCATTTGAAAATCAAATTATTTCTGGAATGTTTACAATTTTTAGACATATTGAACGTAGATTGTCGTTATAATTTACACGATTATTTTTAAGTAGATCAACTTTTTTTTTACTGTTGAGAAAAAACTGTGCTATTCATGCAAATCTATTATTTTATCAAAAATTTGAAATCTTTTGGAGATAGATTCAATCACCCAATAATTGTTTAAGATATTTGTATTTGAAACAATTTAAAACGTTTTAAAAAGACAAGGCTTACCATTAAATACGGCAAAGAATTTCTCCTACTACAATTCATAGTAAAGAATTTAATAAGAATTAAGAATGTTATAAAATAATTGAAAATAAAAGCTTACAAAAGTATCTGTCTTACATTAGAGAGGTTTCAGCGTGAGTGAACCAGACAAACGCAAAATTAATACAGCTAACTTTTTATCACAGCTTTTACTACTGTTCAAAGCATGCGTCCTTATAAGATGTCATTAATGCGAGTACTATTTTTGATAAATTTGCGTTATAAAATACTAAAAATGATTGAAAAATTATCCTATTTCATCCAAAATCTCACATCTACTTAGTACACTAAAACTTTACCTTCTTTTTAAGTTCTTGTTTTAAAAATAGCAAACTTTTTCAGACTTTGACCTTGGAATGAAACGAGCGGTCATAAAAGTGATCTGATCCAATAGGGTTCCTCCTTTGCTCAGAACTTGCCAGTAGTACCAAATTTTAAGAAAATATTCTGATAATTGTGTTTCGTGGATTGAACACGAAAATATATACACAAACAGGCAGACAAGCTGGTGTTAAATTAAAAAAATGGTTCTTAAGCGATTAGTGTAGCAAATGTTGTTGTTAGTAAATGAGAAAAATCAATAATTTCATTACTATTTTTATGCAACTATATGGGCACACACGTACACTTACTTACCTTGGAAGGTACGCATCTGTTACTTACGTAGTAATAATTATAAATGTATTATAATTAAATGAGTTCGATTGAACCGGAGGGAAAATATTGTTATCCTTTGCAAAGCAAAGTATCTGCATATACATATAAGAACCATTTTTTGAGTATATATAAATATAAAAAATTTGCTAAGTAGAATTAGTATTTGAGTGCCTATTGACTATTTTTGTATAAATAATTAATTGCCTGTTTTAAATGGTTTGCCAAAAAATTCAAGAGTGTTAAAATCCCTTGAGAAATTGAAGACGTTTTGCCTTGTCATTGAGTGACGTGCTACTGTTTTGTGACAATACAGTATATATCTGAAAATTACGATGGCAAACGGCTATTGCAGGCCAAAAAAAGATACGGGTGTTTTTCGCATTTTGGACTTAGTAACAAAATTATATAACATATTATAATGACGCAATTTTGATACAAACACACCAAGCCAATGCTTCAAAATCGCAGACGTTAGTATCCATTGTTAAACGGATTAGAACAATAATTAAAACCGTCTAGAAAATATTTATAGCAAGACTGGTGTTGCCCAATGTGAACTCAACTGGCAACGTTTGGATAGCTATGAATATATAATATGCTTGAGCTTTACAAAAGACGGGACAACTTTGCCATACCTGCAATTATTAGCGATTTTGTTTATGCTTATGCTCATCGTGAAATTTATTTTCTAGTTTCTCTTACCCATAAATAGCTATTAAGCTAAGCTATTATGTAACCTTCGGAAGCCTTATAATTTTTCCCCTGTAGGCTTCATCTGTCCGCCAACACGCCTTCAACAGACAAAAGACGACGACTTAGAACTCGCATTAGAAAGCTGATATGAGAACCTACACTTAATATTGCGAATTGGAATTTAGATCGCTCGAGCAGTATTCTTTTTTGCTTGATTAAAAGTACGTAACGCGCGACGTGTGCCTAAGTGCAAAGGCAAATGGTCTTAGCATTTCCATTTTTTGACCCGGTTTTGAATTGAAGTTATGCAAAACGAGGTTTTTAACATTTTGAGAATAGTCACAAGTCGGGCGGAGCTAAATGGAACAAATAGGACGAGTAGGAAGTGTTTTGAATTGAGTTTCTGATTAAAAAAATTATCGAAGAAACAATGCAAATTAAGGAGACCCCTTATCCTAATGCGGAAACCAAGAGTATGTTAATAAATAATACTACTTCTTGACAGTACTGTTCAGCGGAAGTACGCTGTAATAATTAACACTAAACATTTTGTATGTATCTACTTCTAGGTAGAAGGGAACCATTTTGATCGTGTTCTTTTATCGAATTTCCATAGTTGCAAAACTGATGAAAGGAGGCTGAAATTTTGCATAAGCATTTTTTAATCGGTTAGGAGTATGAGTTAAAAAAATGGTCGTGATTTGTGCATGGACGCCCACAATATGTGGACGATGGCCGCTGAAAAATGCGGGTCAAAAATAAGTGCAATCCGCAAACTGCTTATAAATAGTACTTTTCTAAAACTTGATGCAAATATTTCGCAGAACTACTTTATCCCGATCGAGCAAAAAATCTAGTTGAATATGTTGCAGTTCTAATGCATAAAATATTCTTGCTAAGAAATGCGTAGTTTTTTTTTACTTTTTGTGTGTTATATCTATCCTCGGACAATACGTTTACTTACTGTTGACTTTGTAACGTTTTAAAGTCTTGCGAAGTTATAAACGGACTTATCTGGAACAGTATGTTCCCTCTTGCGGGTATTATAATGGAAAAAAAAGGAGAAAGTTACCATCATCCCAAAACAATTTATTTTATAAAAATATGCAGACAATTCCGTGTCGCGTGAACTCCTCCTGTGCGTGCATACAAAATAGTTCGGGTCATGTAGAAAAAATACAGGGTGTTTTTGGTAACCGCTACAATGCGCCACGCTACTCTATAATACGAACAGAATTTGTGGCAAGGGTGTGGGTTCCTGCCTGAAAGGCTTAACCCCACGGTGGCCCAAGCCACTTTTAAGCGTACTACGCCCCCTGGCGAGTTAGACAATCCCCACAGAGTAGGGGCCTAAACAGCACGAATATATATATATATACACGAACACTAAAAACTTCTGAATAAAAAAGAATCGCAAAGGTAGTATTTCTGAAGCTATACGAGTTTTCGTTTCCACTATAAGTATAAATTCGCCAAAGAATTGTAGCTGATTTATACATGCTCCGTGTGTCCATTCATAATGAACTTTTTTAAAAATTCGACGTTGATACAGAAAGCGGAAGCATACATAAATCTTGGATTATAGTTAAGTTTGATATTGGGTTCGTTTTCCGACATTTTCACAATAGAAAGACTTGAAACGTGACTACTGTTTATATTACTTAATTTTACGGCTAATCTTTGATAAAACATAATTGTAAAATAAATATTTAAATTATATTGCCATGAAAATGTCTTGGGAATGACAGATGTCGTTCGTTCCACTGACTCTCGGTATATACTTAAATAAACTGCTGAGCAGCTAAGATTTATTTATATCTTAGAGTCCAGTTTTTTATTTTCATACCCTGATTAAGGCAGCAAGTGAATACAGAAATTTGCTTGACTTCATATCGGTGAATTTTTTTTTGACAGTTTTGGCAGAAAATTGGATGACTCATATTTTGCAGCTTTAAAGTACAACATAAGCAAATAAATTTGTCTGCGTGTATTTGAACAGAATGTTGGTTTAATATAGGGTGGTTGGTCAAGCACATGCCCAGCGCGTTGGTTAAGTGGTATGATGACGCCATAAACCAATATAACATGATAGCGGAAGCTATGTTGGCGCATATATATATACACGTAAATGTGTTTGTGTACATATATATAATATACTGTGAGCGCTATTTTGCCCGAATCTGGTTCTGGAGTAGCTCAGGGGCTTCAGGTTATACTTCACAAAAGAATTTATTGAACGTAATCTTTCCAGTTGTAAGAATTCAGCACTTATTCAATATTTTTCCTAAAACTAACCTAATCCAAAAATCGTACTTCCGCGAGCGAGCCGTCGTTGTCGCAGTTCGCGACCGACTCCGCTCCATCCTAACTAAATTATTCTACCCTACCTTATTCTTAATCTATTCTTATTCTCTAGCATATTCTCTAACCTATTCTTTAGCTTACTCTCTAACTTAGTCCCTAACTTATTCTCTATATTAAACTAGCCTTCTCCCCCCACAAGAGACGGAGAAACTGTGAGGCCAAAACGAGGGACGATTGGCTCCTCACAATACGTATACATATATATATATAAGTATATATATATACGTTCACTTTTTATGTTTGATTTATTATTTCTTCAGGTTTCCTGAAAATCTTCTATATTCAAAGCCGATAAAAAAGGACGCACTACTTAATGTCTAACATGATTGTGATTAGAAAATCGTGACTTTTTGGCTGCAGGACTATACCTTTTTTTCCTCGGCAAATATTTGCATAGACATTTGTGCAAAATATTTTTTTTTTAAATTTTTTCAACTTTCTACCTATTAAGTTTCACTTATACCATCGTATACTTTACGATCATAACTTACGAAAGTTATTTAGCAGATATTGTGAAATTTAATTTTAGAAACAAAAAATATAGGAGGCTTACACGCATAAATACTTGAAATGTTGCAAATGGCAAGACAAAATTATATTAATTGGTGGCGAATAGAAACAGTTAGACAATCATATACTTATGTACATAAAAACGTACATGATTTGCCAACATATTTAACTGGTTCACAACCCCTACATCCTCAACAAGCGTTTTTTTCAGCATGCTTCACTGAATGTGTTCTACATTTTTCTTTGAATCCACTGCAGCAAAAATATATGTGTAGCTCTAAGCACTCTCTTATGCCGGCACAAAAGAACACATACAGTCAGACAGTGTAATCAGGATCGCAACTATTTTTGGTCATTGGCAGTATTGCACTCAACCAAGGGGTTTATATATAAACTCACCATTACCACCATTACTACTATCACCACCAAGAGAGAGGTATTAGCGTTTTTGCACGACGATAACTTAAAATCTCGAAAATCGAGTCAACCACTCATACAGTATCAACCCGAAAGGCTTGTCATCATATATTCCACTTAATTATATATATGTATATATAGACAAATGTATGTGTGTAAAAGCACATGGATATCTGCACTAAACGAGCGGTAATATCGTATGCCATACGAACAACAAATTTCATTGCATCACACGAAGTGCTTCAGTTAAGACGTGCTTGCTACATGCTATTCTCCTTGTTTTAAATATTTGCCTTCAAGTGAGTGTGTATTTAAATAAGAAAACTTGTGGAAATAAAAAAAAAAAATTAGTATAAAGTGTACATTTTTTTTTTACTCAATTTATTTTATGATTTTTCTGCAATGGCAAGCAAGAGTTTTTAATTGAATTAATGTATTTTCAGTCTTCTTTTAATCCATTGGATAGACGATTGCATTCATATTAAACAGTGTCCAGAAATGAAACACGTTGTACTTTAATTCGATTAAAATGTTCTTCTGTACATTTAGCTAATACAAACTATGTGTACAGTGCACTGTGCATTTGTGAAGTTTTCGCACATGATATTAAGTGATATCATTAGTCAATTTAGTTCATTACAAAAAAAATATATCTATCCATATATGTTTATATATATACGTCGATATGTATTTCCGATTAACGTAACGATTTATCTACTTGTGTTTTCAATTTAATAGTTTTTTTCTAGTATAAAGCAAAAGCATTCTCGCAATTGGATTTTTTTCATTTTGCGTGTAGTTAGCTGTAAAAGTGTTAACTGATAATTAGCCAGAAAGTGATCAATTCTGAATAAAGTAACAATCTCGGCCACGGTTGTGTAACTTCTGGCTGGATAAGATACATTGTATATGTGTGAAAAATATATATATTTTTTTTTATTTGCTTAGATTAGTGTATATTTACATATTACAATTTAATACGGGGAATACTTCCACCTGACATATAGTTCGGAACTTGTATTTTCGATGACGAGTGTAGTCCCGTTCTTTTTATTTATATCTGCTTACGAACGCGAGATAAAGTAAATATTTTTTGGTCAGTGATGGAGCCTGAATTATTGCAGCCACCGGTCTGCTTGCTGTTGAAATACTGTGGATAGCAAGCTGCATACTGTGGCAAGAGAACTTCATTAAGTGCTACGGATGACAGAGATATGAGAATAGACGTGACACGAATACAATTTCACTTTTTTTAGTTGCGCTCAACACCGTTCCTCCCCCGTAGTTAACCCAACTTACACCCTTTAAGTATAGCTTTTCCTTTACAGTCAAGTACTCTCTATATCCCTGCTGAACTAAGTTTTAACTTCGGCTGGGTGCGGTTAATTGACCTTTGACCTTGTGCTGAATTTAAGGTGGTCCTTTTACATGCTACTCTCATTTCTTTCATTTTTAAGTAATTTTTTAAACTATCTTCCCAAAGCATTTCATTGATTAATTAAGAAAACTTGAAACGGAAATCAATTGACAATCTCAACATAAGAAGAGTCGGAAGACATATGTGGCGCGACATTACTGTAGCAAATTTATTTATGTGTCAATCGGCTATTTTGGGTCAATTTCTATCACAAAATGCTAATTTGACATAGTTGTCGTATCGTATTTTTTATAAGAATGTGTATACGTGTACATATTATCCAGATTTCTTGTTTATTTAGTATATTTTTTCGATGAGAAATATTAAAAGACGACTTTTCTTAAATGGCACGTTATATGGGGAGTACTCGCAAAAACTATCGGATGTAATACTCCATTTGTAATGTCAGTGCGTTAAACATGTAACCTACAGACATTTCGAACTGAAACTCTATTGAGTGTTACAGATACAAAACACTTCGCACAAGTAGTAACCAGACCACTTTCATGCATTATTATACATATACAGAAAATAAAAAGAACAACAGAGAGGTGACACGTCGCAACCAGCAATGAAAAAAGTTGATACAAACCTGGTCCGTGAAACCTATAGTTACCAAAAATTAACGTTGCTTATCAAAATCAGCGAACAAACTATGTTCTTCACGCAAATTCATTCTTCGCCTTTAGTTTGAATTTTTGCAAGATTTGTACGAAAGAAGTAGTTTTCTTTATGTTGCGAGCTCAATTCGCTATTGTCTTCCAGGATATCTGTAGATGCGTTTCTATATTCGCACCCTTACTTAAACGAAAACAATAACGTATGATAATAACATAATCAGTGCACTTGAATGAACGTTAAAGAATAACTTTTAAGGTTATGAATGCGTTTTAAACAGTAAAGTATAAATAAAGGATAGTAGAACAATGACTAAAGTGTAAATGACTTTTGCACGTACATACGTAAGTAAGTGCATATATGATATAAAGTAGTAATAATATGTGCGCAAGTATCATATAATATGTAAGATTTTGTGTAATTTCAAGAGTAGATATAACGATTTAAGTGCTCCTACAATTTGTACGTTGATGGATGAAATAATTTTAATTATTTATGAGATTTTATTTCGTTTTCTTTCTTTTTCGTTTTATTCAACTATTATGCAGAAAGTGCTGGCTTGAGTCATCCTTTGTGGGTACACGACCATTGGATTCACCGCAAACACCGATTATTGAAAATACAACATTTACTACCGCCGTAGCGGCAGCAGCTGCTGCCAGTTTACTCACTACCGCCAATATTGCAACGGCAACAGCAACAAATAATAACAATAACAATTTTCATACAGCGAATCATAATCAATACAGTTTGAATATCAGACAGGATTTGCCTATAAATTTGCTTGGCAATGAAGCGGTTTTAACCCGTATGAACAACGGTGGTGCACTCAATAACGGTACTACTACGTATAGTAGCGTAAGTAGTGCGAGTGGTGCCAATCTTATACCCAATATAGGCACCGGATATACCAGCCTACCCGCTGGTGAGTCGAAACGAAAAAAAATTTATTTAATTTAATTTAAGGAAACAACAGCAACAAATTTTATAGAAAGCTAAAGTACTGTTTTTTTTTTTTATTACTAACTGTAGATTTTTATTTATTTATTTAAAGAAAAGTGTGCTTTTTATCTTAACACAAGATATCTAAACTTAAAAACGAGTTTATTATAAGTATTTAGACGAAAACACAAAATATTTAAGCTTAGAAAACAATTTTTATATATACATATATATATACGCTGCACTTGCACTCTCCACCGACCAAAAGTAGAGGGGGAAAAAATAGATAAAAACTCCACACTGAGCTAAAAGCTTTATCGTGCGATTTGTAATTTGTGCTCATTTTCTTAGTGATTAAATTATACATAATTAAATAGGTTTCTTATAATGTCCTTTTATCCGTTTAGTGTAAATTTTAATTGAGATTGGTAAAAGTGGGCACTTTGCTGGCGCGCACATAAAGTCTTAGTTTTGTTAATGCCAAATGAAACCTAGCAAAACTTTTACAGTTTTGTTTAAAGTTTTTTAAAAAAAATTCTGAAAATTAAGATTAAATATCTAGACTAACAGCGAAGGGACGTTCATAGCAACGATCAGAAAACTCGCTTCATTTTACTACTGAGGAGAAGCTTTGACCGTCCGCTCGGTCGCTTTTGGAATGAAAATAAAACGTTGAACTTTTACATAAAGTTATTTTTACTTCGTATCCTCAAATTAACCTTGAAAAATAAGTGTAATCCATTGACTAAATTCGCTAAATTCTCTCTCTGCAATTGAAAAGAACACCGACCGATTTGAAGCACCATTATTATTGAGAAATGGCTGACGCGAAAAGTATCTAAGACTTGTTTCACAAGTTGCTTTCTTGTCTTTTCATTGATTTACAAAAATAGTCTAAAAGAAACCAGGTTTCTTAGAATTGTCTACTTTTAGGCCTATGTCTAAAACCAGAATAATTCATCAACATTTATCACTCTTACAACTTTTTTTTTAAATTCTTTTAAACAAACTAAACAAAGGGCGAAGCCGAAGTGCTCCTTTTCTTTTATAACTCTTATCTTTAATTTGTCTTTTCATAACCATTACTTCTTATCTATACATATGTCAGTACTACAACGGAGAAACAAAAAAACAAAAGAAAGGTTTTTGGCCCTTTTATAATAATTGTTAGCCAATGGCATTGATATGACATTATATCATATTTGCATATATTATTAGCATTCATTTACACCGATATATATGCAATTTGTATACGCAATAGCATTATTTATCCATTTATAGCACTTTTATTGATTGTATTTAGAGTTATCATCATTTATTGCATATATTTTATATATTTTTTTTTAATTTATGTTAGTTCGAAAGAAAAAAAACGAACCTTTTTATTTAAATTTAAGTTATTTTAATAAAATATAAGTAAACTTTTATTTTAAAAAATAGTTGTTGTTTTATTTCACTTCTTGTATTATTTTTTATGAATAATGAGTTGTATAATTAGACTTATTTTTGAAGTTTTGCAAGCACGATCATCCAGCCAAGAGTTTCTTTAGCACACTTTATACCTATGCTGATGTTGAAAATTCTTTGTTTCCACTACGGTCAGGCTATGAAGATACATCGTTTCATAGATTCGCTTTGCACTTATTGCTGGGATGATTAAAATCTTCACACAATTTAAAATACAATCCAGTTTCTTTGTATTGTAGGTCTGTACCTAAATTCAAATAAATCCAAATGAAGTTTGACAAGTTTGCTTCAAAGCACAGTTTTATTTGCATTGAGATTGAATCAACTATATTCGATATTTGATGATATGTCCGGGAATATTGTAACTATCGTCTCTTTCCTTTTTTATAGTCTCCTGACTAGTTTTATTTAATTTTTAGAGACCTGGCATTCGATTTTCGCATATTTTTGAACATTTTGTGTTAATTCTTCGCATATATTCGTACAAGTGCTTTTATAAGTGCATATATATAATAATGTAATAATCTTCCCAGTAAAAAATCAAACGCAACGTGACATTAAATTCATATAATAATTATCTAAGCATTTCAAGCAGAAACTTGAATTTAAATAATGCCATTTTTTGGCCACTTGTTGCAAGAGTTGAGCAAAATGCACTGTTGCAACTCGAACGGGGAGTTCTGCTACATTCAGCGTACTTACCAGACTCATCAGATCGTAGCAGGATGGCTTGGCTGGCAATATTCCACAGTAAATGTCTTTTCTAATGGAAAAGTGATCAAAACTATTGCAAACATTTAATATCAAAATGGTTGTAAAATTTTGTTATTCAAGTTGTTATATTAGCACAAATATTGGCCTGCAGGCAAGTGGCGTCACGAGGAGGAGGTCGATGCTATAAACTGGTTACGGAAATGCTTCTTAACGATACATCTAAGCAGGCTGTTCTAATTAAGTTATGCCATATATTTTGCACGGTTGTTGTAACTTATTCTAGAAGCTGCCGCCGTGTCACATATAATAACGCAAAAGATGTCATCAATGATCAGATGTAGACATTTTCTAACCATGATAGCAAGATTAAGGGGTGTAATATAAGTAGTGTCGTTAGCGTAACAATCGAAAGGCTATGGCCGTAGCAGGTCATGCGCTTTTGATACAAAACCAAAATGATAAGATGGTTGACGTCACAAATATGTGTACAATTGCCAAGAACGGCTGTTAGTACATTAACGATGCATATATACAAATAAGATGAGTAATGTCACCGGCTCCAGTAAGAAGGATTTCGAAGTCGAACAGAATAAGCTTAGCACAATGTTAAGACAAAGCTGGCATTGTCTAAAACACCGAATATAACAATTACGCCATAAAAGTATAATATTAGTCCACCCAGACCTCAGCGGTTGTCATTGCAAACATGTACGAATTGCGATTAGAACTGTGTGACCATCCCTCTGGCTAATCAAACCTAAGCAATAGCATTATTTTTTTTATTCACTAAACTATAAGTTCGTTCCACGAATTGAGATTTTTGTCAAATCAGGAGCCTTGTTGCTAATTCTTGTGTAATAAAATCAAGTTCCAGCGTTACTGAAGAAGTCTTACACGGGGGCCATGCAAGCAGAAAAAAAAATTTAAAAAAAATGTCTCGTTTTCTTTTTTTTTAAGCCGAAAACTCTTTTTTGAAACTCTATATTTTAATCTGTGTCTTTTATGTCTTCACTGATGCTACTTGTTTACGTATGTCCATAAGTTTTTTCTAGGCAACTGAAAGTCTTCAGCATATCTCCAGAGTTATTACATTCCGACCGTAAAGGGTAACATCAATGTCAGATCAATATTGTTGTTTTGAAGACCAAGACCTGCTTAGGAAGCTGACCGCTTAGTGTTCCTCCTCCTCGTTAGAATTCTGAAAGTGGACAAGACTGGACGGAAGACTGAGAATATGTCTACAATTTCTTGATTCATTTTCGGATTAAGATTCTGTCGGAACATCTAGCAAGTGACATGACAGTTAAAAGGAACATCTTTGCATTGAAATTATACCGCATGCGATAAGGATTAGGCTTCCGTATAAAATATTAAGTACGCTTGAATCACTTTTTTTATTAGGCGTTGTCGCTATGGCTGACCGTACAATTATAAAATGAATGGGATTCAAAAAATAATGTAGTAAGCTATTCTGAACTAGTTCTTATCATGGTATTAAAGATAATATCTTGTTGCTAAAAACTTACTTCTTGGAGTGAATAGGGTTTGAAGCACAGTTTCCAGCGTCCACACGTCTACATTCATTCCGTATGCTAGCATACGAACGCTTGTTAAGAAATATTCAAAATGAAAAATTTGTTCATGTAAAACTTCGCAAAATATGGCGTTATATAGCGCATGGCCGTAAAAATCCTCTGATCTAATCAATTTTCAATACACTTTTAATCATTGAAAATACCAAATATCAGGAAAATATATCGAAAGTTGCGAGATTGCGATTGAACGCAAAAATATATTGACGTATTTTAGATGGACACACGAACTGTTTTTATTGGCATTATGAGGGCACTTCCATTAATATATAATAATTATTTAACTACATGATTTCTGATGAGAAAGGGCTAAAACTCGAAGCGATAACCGCCGCCCCACTATGTAGGACTATCCACAATGATTCAAAGATCGCAATACTGCTTGAGTACTATGGGCTAATCCTTCCGTAGTTTTGAGGTAATTACACACCAAGTTCCTTAAAGCATCGTTTTCAGGAATCGGGAAAGAGATATTCTACAAGCAATAGAACTGCGGACGCAATGGCATTTTCCTTGGTTTACAGGATCTCCCTTTTTCCCAACAATTGTAGTTGACTAGTGATTTCACGTGATGAGAGTCATAAATCTGTTCTTTCATTCGTATTGTCGATACTTCTTGAAATGCCAAATGGTTTTCCCTACTTGGAATTCAATGCTCAATCAAAAATATCGACTCAGCAATGCGATGCTTTCAACTAATATTCCAATGCCCAATTTCATATGAATCTGCGTATATCTGTGCACCTCTCTAGTAGCATGACTCATAGAATCGAAGTCTTCCATTATCTTAATGCGCCTCTATGGGGTGTTTGCTTTCGCCAGACAAGTTGAAATATGTCTGATATCTTATGAAAGGGTGCATCTATCTCAAGGCTTTCTGGATGCTACATGAATCGCTTAATATGCCATTATTAAAAGTAGTTTAAGATGTAAGAACAAATATTGGTCAGAATTTACCGAAGCCAATTCGCTAATTCTTACATTACGTACTTTTAAAACTAAATTAAAGACAACATTTATAGTGGTAAGCAAATTTGGATAGAACAAGTAAAGTTTAGCGAAAATTTTTCAGTAATAGTCTCCAGCTTTAACTTTAATTACAATATTTGAAAAATAATTTATTTGAAAGATATCTTTCTATTTTTTATAAGTTTTGAAAGTATAAGCAATATTTCTTTTACATATTTTGAATTCTTTAAAAGCACTTTTACCAGTCATAACTCTGGCTGATGCAAAAACCACTAAATCAACGATACAAATTTATCTCCGCTTTAAACCCAATACATGTTGTTATATCTACCACCGAATCCAACATTTTAATTTTGTCGTTTTCGTACACGCTCATAATTTACAATCGATACAAGGTGAGTGCTGGAGCCGTGACGGCCCTTTTCAAGGCAGATTTGAAAATAGTATTAGTCATCATGATATGGTAATTCAGAATATAATCACAAAACTGGAGTTCTTCATAGAGTTGTTCAGTAAATCTATCAAAATTCCGACGAAATCGAGTCCTGTTCTGGTTCCACCACAGCGATAAAGCTTGGAGAGATATTCTTGACGTATCGTCCAAATTAGTGTTGTAGATACTTCTTCCATCCTCCTTTTGATCCTTACCCCCTAAATGAGCTGATGTAATAAAAGGTCTGTTACGGTCCGCTGCAATGCAACCCATCATTTCAAACTAATGTAGTTAAGTCACCCTTTATTTCTTATATAAACGAAATATCCAATAAAAGTTCTGGCAAGTATATTTCGCAATCATTTCCTTTCTCTAGCCGTGTCTGTCTCTCTTACTGATCGTCTTCGAAAATCGAAGCAATGGACGCTTAAATATCTTCATAACAGGACAAAATCAAAAGCCGAAAAAATCAGATTTGATCTGCAGCAAATTTCCAAAGGTAGATGCAAATATTTCCAGTATCGATATAGTAGCTCACTCTAAAGTTAGCAGAGATTAACCCATTATCAGTTCTGTAAAGAACGGAAAGTGATAAAGTGGTGGATATACAAAGTTCGGTATAAGACGAGTGTGAATTTCTTGCTTGTTTTTCTTTTTAGTACTTTCCGCTAAAATTAATCGTTACTAATGCGTATCATTTGCTTCTAAATCTCATTGTAATGTTCATCTACTTGTAAACATACTAAAAATTCAAAACATAAACTTCTTTGATTATAAACAAGCATAATTTTTCCTTTTTTTCATTTCTTATGATTTAATTTTTTTTTTTTGCTTTGTCCACTAAAAAACTCCAACCGTATTTTTTCCATTCCCTATGTATATACCCAAAAATTTTAATTTAGCGCCAGAACGCTCCCTAAGCAGCGCCTCACTTGAAGATGTTTTAACCTCCCTGTTAGGATTGTCAACCACCACCACATACACAACAACTGCAAGCGTTACGAGTGGAGTTACATTAGCTACCGATGCCACCGCTACTTATGCTAGGTCCAGCACAGGTATGCACCTGTAAGTTTTTGTTCCACAATCATAGTAGAAAAAATTAAACATATGTGAAAAAACTTATAAAAAATAAATCAAAAAAAAAACTTAAATATTGATTAATGTCGTTTCCTATAACTCAAAACTGTCGGAACAGAGACATTATTGTAATAAAAAAAAAGTTAAAACCTTTTTAAACGATAAAACGAAACTTTCCTTCCTTCTCTAAATATCTACTGATCTATTACAGTGTGTTTATATTTCTCTTCTTCATCTCGTAAAATTTTATATATAATTAGTGCGTTCTTCTCAATATTTATAAGTTACATACGATGCGTTTGCTTATGTTTCGTGAAAGTTTTGCTTTACATATTCATTTTAGTTAATGCTTATTAAATAAAAACTTTTTTTAAATTATATTCTTATGATAAAAGAAAATATATAGAAAATTAAAATAAAAGACTACTTGGAAATCTTCTGAGATTTGTATATAAATAGAATGGGGAAAAGAATAGTGTTTGGAAATGAAAGTAGGATTAAAAACGTTTTTTTCTACTTTAAAATACTACAACAATAGAATAAAAATTACGAGTTATACAGAAATTTTAAATCCCTCTAAGCGTTCTTAGCCATTTGAAGTGATTTAAAAGTTTAATCGGCCAAAACAATTTAAGTACAACACAACGTCCCAACAATCAATATCTTTGATGACGTATACCCTGTGAGACTTAATTTTACGGTACGAGATGGCACGCCAAGTAAGCAATACTTCACTTGTAGTGTATTTGGCCTTGGCGAGCTCATATCACTTCTTTCAATTTATTTCTTGCCTTGAGTGCCCCTTCATGGGTAGCTTTGACGTAATACAATAGTAGTTGTCATACTCTTCTGGTGCACGTATAAGTTACAAAGCCTAAACACGTTTTTTTTTTTTATAAAGCATAACATTTCTTAACAGTTTGGATAGCTTCGCTATTCATACGAGAATGCCGCAATGAAGCGGTGCCGATCGTTATTATATGACTTTAGATGAATTCTATTACGATAAAAAACTCACCAATAACAACACTGTCGCGAATTCCGCACTATACAGTTTGGTATTCAACGCTTCTCTTTTATGTGAAGTTATATGTGCGTTTATTGATTACAAAGTTATTGAACCAAAAATAGGCTTTTTTTGTACCTCCGGCTATGCCGCGGGTAAAGATCAATCTTACGGATAAGTCTCCTACTTGATCAATTCGAATCAAGAGGTCAATCGCACTTTCATCAGTTGCTTCTCTACTCTTTTATGAGCGTGAAAACAATGAAAGCTATCTTTACAGATTTGATTTTTCCGCAAGCCTTCGTTGGTAAGTGTAATCTTTTACAATTAAAATGTAGATTTCGACAAGTTGGCATTTAAAAAATTCGTTCCTTTTATAGATCACGTACAAGGGCCCGTTGTGCGAATGCGGGTGTGTGCGCAATTTAAAAAGCAATTAAACTGACAATTTTTATATGGTTTTTAAATAGAGTTTCCGTCATTTGCTTAACGCAATATATAATAGCATAATTTTATTTTTGAAGCTTCAGCTTCAAACCCGATATCTTCCCATATGCTGCAAGGTAATAATATTTTGTTCCGATTGCCACAAAATTCCCGACATTTTCTATACACGATTCATTTACCATCATACATTCTGGACAGTGCGAACCATTGGTTAATTAATCCCAAAACAATTTACGATAAGAAAAAATCTAAGCATTGATTTGAAAAGAGAGGCAACATTTATCGAAACTTTCATTATATTTTGCTATTTTTGGTTAAGTTTTATACTTTTTTTAAAGGCAAAGACTTTTATTAGAAGTCCATACAACTTTTCGCCGTATTACTGCAGATTCTCTCAAATGAATATGTTGTTTCTTAAAGTTTATATCAAAAATTTTGGCATGTGCTTGATATGTATTTCAATAAATTAGAACAGTTAAAGAAAACTTTGTAAATTTCCAAAATTATTTAAAAATATTAGTTTAGAGTTTGGCTTAAAGTTGTCTATAGAAGTTGTTTGGAAATTTTTATAATAATCATGACGTATTCATTAACTTTAACCTCATTTTTTTTATAATTCTCTTTATAAACATTCTACAATATCTTCTAATGTCAAAGGAGACGTTATAGCTAGTCAGGCGACTTTAGCTGCTAATAATCTCAAACATATGCCACAAAACATCCAACAAAAAACACAACCCAGCCATTCCGAATACGATCAGCAAAAAGAAAATATACAACAACAAAATCAATTGCAAGTTCTTTCCAAAGAAGAGCAACAGCGATTACGTCGACGAAGCGAAGGAGATGCGCCTACACAGAAATCGAGGCAGCTACAGCAACAAAACCAAAAATTGCAGCAATATGCCGTCAATGCAAATGTCAAAACCGCGTATGCCAGCGACTCGCTTACCACTCTCACCCACAGTAGTGCGAGTTCACAACCCGCAACAAATCACATCAACGTTGTTGCTGGCACAGGAACAGGAAGCAGCGTATGCCTGGCGCCACGACGCGTATCGCTTGGCGACTCCTCCGAGTCCAATAACAAGACCATTAGCGCAGCCTCTTGTGAACTGCAAATCAAGTGTCGCAACACCAAATGCGATCGCAGTGCCACGCCCGCCGACGCCAAAAAGTATTACAAGTCATGCCACAATTGTACCTATTTATATTGTTCGCGTGAGTGTCGCCGAGCCCACTGGGAGAAGCATCGTAAAGCCTGTTTGCATTCCAGGGCTTCAAATTTGTGCCGCCAAGTGTTAGCAACTTGTAAAGACGATCTAGATTCGCAACGTCATCTCAGCTTAATGGCACGTAAAGGCTACCTGTCACAGGGCCGTGGCGTTGTTCGTATACTATTCCGTTCGGCTGAAGCAGCGGAAGGCTTCATCAAGCATGGATTTCAGTGCTTAGGCGAGGCGTCTTATGTTCGCTGGCCTGATTTGATGCCTGCGGAAATGGGGCTCGAACTCTACTCGGAATTGCTGCGCTTTAGCACCGAATATAAACCAGAATCAAAAATGTTAATCTATGTCGCTATATGTGTAGTTTCTGAGGCTCCTGGAATGGGTCAGGCTCCGGTACGTTGGGAACGTCAATTGGTTTCGCGTTGTGCGAAACTGAAACTATGTAAATCGGTATTGGCAGAATTGGACCAGCCCGCTCATCCAACGAGTGGTATAATACAGCAACAACAGCAACAATTATCACAACCAATCACCATGATAACCGTGCCCGAACCTACAACTGAGGTTTTAATATTAACGTTCAATCCTCAATTACGTACATCCAGTACGCAACGCGAACTTGTTTTCTCGAACATTTTGAATATATTATCGCGTCGAGGTGTAGTATTGCGTCGTCATTATCCTGAAATTTTTCAACGCTTACAATCATTTGCCGAAGGTCAAACGGACAAATTTAATCCAGTTACATTGCATCCGCGCAATTCACAGACCGGCCAGAATTTTGTATGTATTATAATGCCTGTACATTCGGAAAGTGAAATTATCAAATTACCATCAGCGGCCGACGGCGGTAATCGGGTGACCACCATAGACGTAGGTTCACAAGCTGCTCTTGCCCAACTGGACGATGATGAACTGTTAATGCGCACCACAAGTTGATTAAAATCTTCAATAAGTAACGGTGGTGACAAAATAAGAAAATCAAGTTCCAACAACGCTCTTTGCAAAAGCCGTTCGCCGTCTCCACATCTGGAATCGGCAACAGTAGTTGTAACATTGGAAAGTACTCGTATGTGAATTTGAAAAGTTAAACTGTTCAACTTCCTTTCAATCTTACTCTTAACTATGTACCCGCATCTCTTTCTATCTCTATCTTTCTCTTTCTCTCGATAGAATTTACTTGTTGAGCTTGTTAAATAGTGCCATCTTCATGTACTTTACCGAGACTATTTATTAATCTTCGACCAGTAGTAGCTTTGTATTTTTTTAGGTTAAGCTCTCTTATATATACAAAAGAATAAATATGGCACATAATTTCTAATAACACACATTCACGCAAACCAGGTAAATGCAAAATGACGTAGAAATTCTTGGAGATGAAAAACCAAATTAGAATTCCTTCAACATAAATTATTTATTTTGTTCACATATATAAAACAAAGAAAACCTTCTAAAAGTATTGTTATATATATTTGGAAACGTAAACAAAGTAAAAATCAAATAAGGATTATACGATATAAGCTTAGCTAGACATTATTCGAGTATTAGAACTCTTTTGAGTTGCTTTTCATAATACTGAAGACTAGCTGTCTCTTTCCCTTTCCATTTTCTTTCAGTTTAAAAAACGTGCCAATAACCAATACAAGTATATTTCATCTCAAAAGAATTTTGACGTTATTTTTTTATACTATTTTCTAAAAATTAATTATTCTATTGCTTCCATAATAAAAATATTTAACAAATATCTGTAAAATGAAATGAGAAAATAAAAACTATTAAAAAATTCATTAAAATTAACGTTAAACGACACTAGAATAATTAAGCTAAGAAAGCAAAATGAAAACGCAAATTAAAATATAATTCAAAATGCTTTGCAAACCTAATTGAAATTCGAATGCAAACTTTAACTGTTTTTATTGAAAATTCATTTTCAAATGAAAATGAGTATAAACCTCCACGAGACAAACGCATTGAAGTACTTTATGAGAGTGGCGAAAAGGAGATAATGTTAATACACAGCCAAAACTTGATAATGTTAATTTAAAAGAGGTTAAATAAATTCTCTTTGCAGATTTGTGCCATGGCGAAGGTCAAATGTAATAAATTAATACAAATTTCGCGCAATTCTTCTTCAAAATTAGTTAAAACATTCTAACCGGTTTAGGGTTTACTATAGGACTAGCTATCTACCTTATTTCACTTCGTTATGAAATACTTAAAACTATGTCGGGTTGTTCTAAAAAGGCTTACTTACTTTTCTTTTTCACTATTCTTTTACTTACTATTCTTTTACTTCTCTAACGAATGATTTTGCAGAATGATATTAAATGAATTGGAATTGGAATAATAAAGAGTGCAATTGGCTGATTTAAGTTGGTCTTGATATATCCGCACTATTTTCATATAGTTTTGTAGCTAATGGTGTTGGATATAAACATACAATTTTATTTTATTTTATAGTTATCGTAAATTTGGTATCCATTTTGTGGAAAGTGACTTCTGATAATCTGAAGGTTGACGTTGTCGCATCCATTTAATTAATATAAAAAAAAAAAGAATTTGATTGAGATAAAAGCTTTTCCCCTGGCTCTTTTAGACGTTTCGCCGTTTAATTAATCATTTTTGATAGGTCGTAAATTAAGGTTTTTTGGCTGCTTCTTTACAAGTTTTCCTGTTTCATATCGCTCTAATACCGATTTGTGCTATGTTTTACATTACCAGCTTAAAGGGATTGTAAGTCAAAGCTATTTGTTCACATTAGGCGTGCTGGTAGGCGCATCACAAAATCTGTGGCTGTTAAGTATAAATATGTACGCCCAGTTTACACATTCTATGAGAACTTTAATACATTGAAACAGCAATTTTCGTGGCAATCATTTGACACAAGTTGACCTTTTCATAGCCTTAGAAAAGATTCGATTTCCAAGAATTAAATTACTTGGGTGAATAAATTTCCCTAAAAGTGGGTTTCAATTATGTTTCTATAAGTCATTGTAAGAAAAAGAAAATCTCTTAATATATAATATTTAAGATTAAAATCATTTAGCTAAAAAAAAATATTTAGTTGAAGTTTTTATAAAAAAAATAACATATAAATTTTGTGTAAATGTATTTTATTGCTTTTCTTTTTTATATGGATATTATTAAAGTATTTAAATTTATTACACGAAACATAATAATGATACTGATAATGCCTTACTTATGCATCTTTTGTTCGCTCTACGTAAATAAAATTCTTATACGATAAATTCCTACTTAGTAAAAATATACATGAACATTATGAATATGAAAAACTTTACAACATTTAATTAAGTTAAATATAATTTAAATATATTTTATTAGTTAAATATTTCCAGCTAAATTAAGTTAAAACTTGGCGCATTTAGCTTATAACACGATCTTAGGAGTTTTTTAGTTTAATAAGAAATTACAATTAAGATCAAAACTGAACACTAAAACCTTATGCAGCTTACATTAGTATGATTAAATAAACGAAAATCTAATTACAATAGCATCTATACTCTTTTAATAATACCCACAATCTAGTAAAATAATAAACTGCTGCGTCTTCAGACACTATTTTTCGCCATAAAATAAATTATATAAGAACTTCTAGTGCTCTTGAAAAACGGATTCTCAAAGCCTTAAGTACGTAAAGTCGGTGTCATCCGTGAATAGAATAATGAATCATGGTTTATATAAAAAGAGCATTTAAAATCTTGGCTTTGATACTTGGCTTTCTTTCTTTAATGCGGTTTTTGCAAATTGCAACAACAAATGATAGGTAGACCAGATATTTGAATATTTAACAGTTTATACATTCTGAGGGAGGAAACAATAAAAAAATGTATACAACTTCTTTCCTTGATAAAACATGTAATAAATATCTGAAGAACGTTTCATCTAGCTCTACGCCGTTCAGGCGTTTGTGAATTGAATCTCTCTTCTAAATGAAGTCTTATTTCTTTGTCCTGACATACCTACAGTCTATTGTATATACGGCCAAGCATCCATGGCTTAATTTAAAGAAATATGAATTTTTGTTTTCATCTTTCTGACATGTGCCCACCAATGCATCTACACGTAGTGCATAAACAATAGTTGACGGAGACCCATTGTAAAATTGTCGAGCAAGACAACTGATTCTTAAATTTAAATCATTCATTCTCGTATTTGAATGTATATCGTAAAGCATAAAAATTCATTAAAAATATAATATATATAAATAAATATAAACAAATATAAACAAAAAAGTTGCAAATATAAGAATGCATTGAATTATATACAGACGATTAAATAGAAAAATGAAAAAAAAAAAGTTTTGAACTTATTGTCATCATAAAAAAGTCATACCTACACAAAGATGCGTTTAATTTTGTTGCCTACAAAATATTTAACTATATTTAATGGTGCAAAATAAATACATGATTTAAAAAAAAGTACTTATACATGTATGTGTCGTTTAATGTCAAGTGTCTACTATATACATAATTGGATTTGACTATTCTTCCTATTTCCTGTTGGCGATGTGGTAGGGGGAAGGGTTACCTTTTTAACAATATATAGCATTTTTTTCTACAGGTTTTCATCTGAAGAAAGTAGTACAAAATAATGGATTGGCGAGTTGAAGGACTATTGCGCAGTAAACAATAATAAACCATTGTAAACTTGTCATCAGTCGCAGACCAGATAACAATGAATATTCTGAAAGCGAACTGAAAGCCAAACCTTTTTTAGGTGTTCCTTTTACAACAAAAGACAGCACAGCTGTTGGAGGAAAATTTCAAACACGCTAGGCTAGGCTAGGTTTCTAGGAAAAGTTTAAAAGCAGATGAGGACGCTGAGTGCATAAGGCTTATGAAAAACAGCAGACCTATTATAATTGCAACCTCAAACATTCCTGAAATTAATGAGACCAGGAAAAACCTTATAGGTCAAACGAACAATCCCTACGACCTGAGATCTACTGGAGACTCGTCTGGAGGGGAGGCTGCTTTGATATCATCATGTTGTACAGCTTTCGGCTTGGGCAAGGATATTGGGGGTTCCATACGAATACCAGCATTTAAATGTTGTATTTTTGGTCACAACCCTAAAATTCGCAGTAAATACTCGTGGTTGCACTTTCCGTACTGGTAAAGTGGTCGTCGGTCCTATGACTTGTAAAATATGTTATGACTTTGCAAGCGATTGTGCTGTTTCACATAATATTTGTGTAGAGAGCAAAGTTCTACTATTGTTGGTTTTGTTGACTGGTATTTCGCTGTTGATGTGCGTGCATGTGTTCATTTCCATGGTTTTGGTTGTTTTTCTTCTCGCATTATTTTATTATCTCTAAGGTGGTTGCAGTATCATACTGCGTGCCATCGGTCGAGCACGACTTTTAGAAAGTGGTGCCTTAAATTATGCTACTCTTAGCCAACTTTGTTGAAACATAGAAAACCGGAGTGTGAATACTATGCAGAGTATAACTGTGTGAAGTTGTTTTTCTTTGCTTCGAAAGTCAGCACTTGTTATATTTTTTGCTTTGCTTGCGCTAAACGACCACACCCGTATAGAAGAATGAAAAAGATGGAAAAAAATACAAAATTACAAGAGGATGTTTTTAATGTTTCTTTTGACAACAATTTCGCGATACTCGAGTAACGCGCGATTTTACACACTTTCTTAATTTTCGGGATATGTAGCTGATGATTTTTTCTACTTATTTTTATAGAAATCGTTTCGAGCCGCGGAGTGCTTAAATACGCGTCTTCTCGCTGCGAAAAGAACATTAACTTCTTTTATTTTTTCTAAACACGAAAAAAGAGTTTAAAGCCCAAAATAATCAATCATCCGGCGGTAATCCTCTTGCAACTCACTTTAAGTATTACGTCGGAACGATTGTTCGGTTCGAGGCCGGAGTCATTGTCCTTACGCCGCTTCAAACACATTCAACCCTTATCAAGTCGACCGTTATGGCGGAAAGCAATTGTGCCACACTCGGCGTCGGTCTTCGTAAGTTAACTTACTCATCAATAAAATCTTCAATTTTTGATTTTTCGGTGTTTGGTACTGTGGTAGCTCTTAGTATTTTAATGCGAAATAATATATTACTTAGTATTTTTAATGATAATTTCTAACCACACATTCAAAACACGTGTAATGCTTAACTAATGACACATTACATAAAAAACCTGTACGATAATATATTAACACTATAACGGCGAAGTCTCTTACTTTTGAGTTTATTTTATTTATTCATTCATTGTGTAACTATAACGCTATGGACCTAGGCCTGGGTGAAGTTAACGCAAAGTATATTATCTACATCCAGGACAATTTCCAAATTTCATATTGTTTTTGAACGAATCCAAATTATTTGCATTAGCACTATAAAGCAGAAAGATGTCATCTGCATCAACCATATCCCCAACACCTTCACGAACAGAGTAAACAGTAGGGGGGAGTTAGTATTGCCATCTTTGACACTGGCACAAACTTGTGTACCAGAGAGGTTTCAAATGAAATCCAATCATGCCGGAAGCAACGATCGTCTTTTTACAAAATCTGCACAAATCTTCATAAATTGATATATAGTAGATAATACTATACGCTTTGTCGCCTCACTTACCGTGAACTCACACAGAAAAACTGCGTGCGTGAGACGAATAACTAGACTAGGCTTAGTTCCACAAGCGGTAATACTCAATTTTTAAATTTTGATGTCGTCATTTTTGCTGTTTCCCCAAAGAATGCATTACAGATAATCGTCTGGGTGAGGAAACTTTACAAATCGATGACTTCGCAAAAATCACTGATCAGAGCTATCTTAAAGAAACAAAAACGCACCAGTGTATTGAACAGATTTAATTGTAGAACGGGAATGAAATAAGTGATTTAATGAAAAATCCGTTGAGGTTTTGCTGAACCGTCAAAACACTGCTTTCAATTTTGTTGTTATTCTATCTTTTTTACGCATATAATGATATGACAGATAAATTCCTATTCTCTTTTATGAACACTGCGTACTATATCTTGATTTATGGATATTTATTTATCTTGTCTTTCAAACCGCTCAAAGAACACGCTTCTAAAAATTTCCAAGCACATCACTCTTTTTACTTTGCCAGCCCTACGGAATATGCACATTGTCTGAGGCCTTGCGGACAAATTTCGGATATTTCATTTTGTGCAGGCGTCATACAATGCCATTTCAAAATTATCCTATTGGCAGAGCCCAAGGGCACATTCATTATTGGGTAGAAAGTCGACTATAACATTTCTAATTTTCAGTACGGTTCAGTTACGGTTTGTTAAAGATTGCACAGCTTTTTCTATTATTGTATAACTTTGAATGCGTTGTTAAATCAATAGAGAAAATAACATTATACGTTTTACTTACCTATATAACAGATATATATAGAACAGAACATGTAAAGCTTACCGCTTATCTGTTCCGTTATGACAACTTCAGTTTTGCATCAGCACTGAACATAATTCTTTAGACGTTATACAGTAAAATACAATATTTTTTATTTCCGAAAGTTTTCCAAAAGTTTCTCTATTATTTATTGCTATCTTAAAAGTAATTACTTTTCTATACATTACATTAAATTATATTATTATATTTATGATTTATATTATAAGGAGAGTAGATGTATAAGAGAGTAAATAAAACTCAAAAATTGTTTTTTTAAATATGCTGGCTTTGATTAAATTAATCTTAAATTTAACCCATAATTCCGTTCAATATACATCGTTTGCGTTTTATTTTTCATTCTTAACAAGCATCACTTTTCTCTGCCACTTCCCTTCGATTCTTTTTACTTTTACGTAAAAGACGATTTTCGTTTACTCCGTTCTCTTCAAATATTGTGTATAAAAAAAGCTAAGCTTATCTTTTATCATTATTTATTGATAAACATTTACTAAATTATTATAAATTGAAGCTTCGATACAGTCACGTTCATGGAGACAAGTTTATTAATTATATTGTAGTGGCGTCTGCATACTCTGTAGTTTTTCGCTTATGTACAACAGGGATGAATGAAATAAAATTACAAAATTCATAA